CTCCTTCCCTGGAGATATTCAAAACCTGCTTGGACACCATTCTGTACAACTGCTGTAGGTGAGCCTGCTTAAAGATGTCCCTTCCAACCCTGACAATTCTGTGATTCTGTGATTTAATAACAGCCTTTGGTGAAAATTAATTTTTGTTCTATTTGGAAATAGACTTCCCAGATATAGCATTTTCCCAGACCGAACAGTTTCATTTGTTTGTTTGTTTATCAAAGGAGAAGAATGCAGAAGTACATAAAAGCCAGATTTCCAGGGGGGTATTGGCCAGCCTGGTGCTGAGCCCATGGCTATACCTGGGAGGGGGGAGTTTTGTTTGCCAGGACTGCTTCTCTGGCTAGGGAAGGAGGGAGCCCGAATTCACTTGAAGTACTGCCTGCACATGATTCTGTCATCACGATCCCACAGCGGTTGTTAGGTGATGTTTTGAGGCTGATTTGCATCTTTCTGATGGTATGTGATGCAAATATGCTGTTATATCAGTGATACAGACTTACCATCGGCGTTCATTAAAGACCCCTGACTGCCATTCAGAAGAGTGAGTTGTAATCAGCAGTCATACTTTGCAGCTAGAGCACAGATCGCTTCTAACAAAACTTGCTTCTGTCTTCTTATTTTGTGATCAACATGATCATTAACATTTTCATCACAGTTCGTTCTTCCACAACAGCCATGTCCATATTTGTCTCAGATTATCATCATCTATCTTTCTTTCAATACAGGGGATAAATTATGAACTAAACCCTACAGTCTATACTCAGTCAGCCATAAGAGTTAGCAATGTTTTCACCAAAAAGATCAAGATTTGTTTGTATTTGCATTATTTATAAGGGAAATAGTATATTCACATTTTTTTCAGGGTAATATTGTGTTTTACGTATGCAGTTTCTCCCTAAAAGTTTCTGTACTATTCCTCAAAAATCATTTTATTGTCAAATTCTTGTTGCAACAGAACGTGCTAGCTTTTATGAAAAAATTGGTAGGAAAGCAATTAAAGTTTCATAGTGGGAGTTCATAACATATGAGCCAGCTAGTGAAAAAAAGGACATACCACATAATAGATGTGTATGCTGCATAAAGGAATAATAAAAAAAAAACCCTACATTTCTCAACTATGATCTTGCATTGTTAATACTGGGTGTGTGAATTTATTTTTTTTTTAACCTTGATATAATTTTGACACTTCAAATTGTGATAAGAATAAATTGTGATAAGGATATTCTCAAATTACTGGTGTGGTTTTGGTTCTGAGGTACAATGCACAGTGCACTTTATAGCCCACAACTGGCATTTTAAGTCACACAGTGGAGGGTAGATCATCATTTACACCAAGAAGCTCATTTATATAAGCTACAATGTCAAGTTTAATTAAGGGCTGCAGTGACAAAAGAAAGCCGATTGCATGTGCTGAAAATACTTTTCAGATGGCAAATGACTGGCACCAATAAAAACAGTATCCAGGGTAATTGTTAAGGTTGTGATACTTAAACCTGATTAAAAATATCTCAGGGAGTATATCCCAATAGGTTAATGTTCTATAAGACTTAAATAAAAAATAAAATGAAGCAAACTTAATCTATTGCCTAAAATTCCAATTTAAAGTCTGGATCTTTCTGCATGGAGGGAAAGAAAACATAACTGGCAATTAGGAGCCTTTGTATCCCCACATTTTCTTTATTCAGCTCTGTAAGATTTTATAATCGGTAACTTTGTAGCTTGCTTACCACAATGACTTTGTGATGATCCCTGGTCAAAGTAAATGTGTAGAGGAAAATCTGGTGGCATGATTTATTTGGTGTTCTTTGTCTCTGCTCGGCACACTCAGTGTTTGGGAAAACAGTCAGAACCTCTTCTGCCTAATCCCCATCAGCATCTCTCTCTCTTTCTCTCTCTCTCTCTTTGTGGCCGCCACATCATAAGGGGGGAGTTGATGCTAAGGATAAAGGTCAAGATGACAGAAAATGACAACCTTTGAATTGAAAAGAGAAATGAGTGTCCCTAAGTATTCAGCATGAGCTTCTCTTTGCTCCCTGCAGGGCATCTGCACCACAACCACCGCGTTTTTACACTTCTTCTTCTTAGCTTCATTCTGTTGGGTTTTGACAGAAGCGTGGCAGTCATATATGGCTGTTACTGGAAAAATTAGGACACGGCTCATAAGGAAACGTTTCCTGTGCCTTGGATGGGGTAAGTCCATAAAATACATTTCCTCAGAATCATTGGAATGAAATGTTTAATGCAGCGACAATGTCAAGAATATCATAATTTTCTTCAGTAAATCTGGAAGATAGTAGACAGCATGTTACTAAAAAGAAAACTAGGTTAGAAGCCTTTCCACTTTATCTCAAGCTCAAGCTATGCTGGTGTATATTTTAGCATTCTTTTCTAAATATGTTTTAACTAAATTTTAGAAGATTCTCAGCAAAGTAGTGTAATACCAAGAAATCAAAATAAAACAAGAAAAAACACACTGAATATTCATGAAGCCTCCTCCTAGTTCACTTTAAGACCTGTCAAGTGTACCAGTAATTTAGCTACATCAAAGTGGTACACCGTGGGCAGAAAACAGTGTCCTCCTCCCTGCCAGTGCTTCAGAAAAACAAATCCTGCGATAGCATTGTGCTTCATTAAACGATTCATTCCACGTAAAATTGGCCACTTTGCATTAGCTTGCTCTGTCATTTTTTGTCCAGGCAGAACACCAATATTTCGTTCAGCCTCTAATGGTTATTACTGGTTTGGTTTTTTTCAGGTTTACCAGCATTAGTGGTTGCAATATCAATAGGCTTTACCAAGACAAAAGGATATGGAACAGCCCACTAGTAAGTCAATCGGAAATGATAAATTGTGGTTTTAATTAACAAGACTGTCATACCCATCAGGAATTACATAGCGTAACCTGAAGGCTCTGCAGGTATCCATTCACACTTGGAGCTGTCCTGGGAGGCACTGAGTGGTCCACGAAAGTGCAAAGAGAAAACCATGTGTCAGTGATGGACTGAGCTCCACAGAGCGCCAGGGATCCTGGACTTCTTGTGAGGTTGTGAAGTAGCCAGCTTTTAGAAACACCGAGAATTAGGGCCACTTAGACACCTAACGTTTATATACATTTACCAAAGAGAACTTTAAATCTTATGGCCAGCCTTTGCCAACCTCTAAACATGGCTAAAACTGTACTAGCAGGAGTGTCTTTGGCACCTAGGTTTCAGCCCACCAAGGCTTTAATGCCCCTGAGCTGCTTGGAGCCAAAGCCCCCCAGAAATCTCAAAGTAGCTCTCCCACCCATCCCCTCTCTCCTGGAGTGCCTGACCCAGCCCGTTTCCTGGACTGGACTTGAGAGACAGCGAGGAGGAGATCTGTGTACTTCATTTACATGTTATTAATACAGTTCCTGTTTAGCTACCTGACTGGTTCCAGGGCGTATTTAGCACCCTGGAGAATTCAGTCCTCAGCGAGGCTGCCCTTCGGTTGTCTCCGGCTGAAGAGGTAGCTTGGGCTGAGCCTCCAACCACCGAGACGTTACGTATGCGAGAGCGCATTTCCTTCAGTCGTCCTCTTTGGAGCTCTCCTCACGTTGCCTGAGAAATTAAGTATGCATCTGGACAGAAGGAGAGGAAATACGACTCTGTAGCCTGGTAATGAGGGCATTCATCAGAGATGTGGATGGGTTAGGTCAAGTCCTCGCTTCAGTGAATATTTAATTATTCTCCTTAGCATCATCACTGAGTGAGATCAGGATTCCCCCTCCCTGCCCTGTGAGTCCCACCACCTTAGCACATGGCAGGGGAGGCTTCGAGCCCTCGCTCCAGCTCTGGGCGGGTAAGGATTCCAAAACAAATCTCCTCCTGAGTACCGGCTCTAACCACTGAGCTCTTTAGTTTTAAATTGTGACAATGTGCATCTCGCTTTTTTTTTAATAAGGAATGGCTTACCCAACTGAAGTGCTTAACTTGCCCTTATAGCTGGCAGTCATCTTAGCCAGCTTTTGGGAGCTATATTGTGGACCTGCTCCTCTCACCTTTTTTTTCTAACTAATATGTGCTCATCTTGCTGGCTTTTTTGTTATTTAGTCCTTGAACCAGGACTGGAGAAGCATTTAGGCTGTGACAATTACAAATCACAAGATTACAATGTCCAGACCTCATTGGGGATGTAGCTCTGTCCCTTGCAGGATCAATCCCATTGCATTTACTCTACGGAAATTATTCATGTGTGACTACTTGCTTTAGTCAGTGTTGCATCCTGCTTCCTTCCTGGGCTGAATGCATTTTTCAAAGAGGATAAACTGAAATATTCAGACAGAGCAACGAATCATTCATTAAGGGTAACCTGGAAAGTAAAAAAGAGCATGTACATGTAACAGCTCCTCTCCTGGGATACAAATTCAGCTGACACGATGCCATGGGACAAAAGCACAAAAGGAGCTGTACAAGGGACAAACAGAACCACAATGCATCTTTCTCATCTTATTTGCAAATACATTTTCTTGACATTTGACATCAGAATTACATGAGGAAAACAGAGAATGCAAGGAATGGAGATTCCTGCTCCATCACCAACTGATGTGCTGCCCCATTCTAGAAGCCAGCAGATAATTGTGTCCCATAGCAACTGCTGGGCAGTGTAAAAGCAAAGCTCTGCTCCTGCTCCTCCTCCCATAACTAAAGTGCTCGTGTAAGTTTTTTAGCTGCTTGCGCTATATTTGGCCTGTTTGGCTGCCATCAGTTACACACATGCTGCTATCAGAAATGCGTCCTGTTGCAAACTATTCCTGGGCTGTAAGATGCTGGTTTTGAAAACGATGATTTCAAATCGAGAAAATTAAGATTGAAAGTGAAGGAATTTATTCCAGTGCCATAGTCCCACACATGAAGAGATTGATGGAAAGGGAGAAGGCCCAAGGATATTTGAAGCAGATCTCAGTTTCATACATATATGACTGATGAGGGGCGCTTGAACTGTTCACACTTGAACCAATTCTGTGATCAACAGTCTCTGATTTCTATCTTTTTCTTTTAGTCCTAATTATTAGACAATTACATTTCTGTACATTTAAAACTACATATGAAAAATATTTTACACAGACAGTTGTACTGATATAGATACAGAAGCTGAAGGGATTTCCTAAGAATAATAAAAAATGACAGTGACAAATTTTTAGATATTTCAGGACATCTGAAAAAGATTTGTGTGTCTGAAAGCTCAATTGTATTGTCCAGCTCTTTCAGTGAGTCTAATAAGTATTGTTCCTACCTCTCTTCAGATGATCAGAGCTATGAAAGCACCACTGCTACAAGTTATGATTAATAAACCTGCATGACCTACTCATGTTTACATACAGGGCTATATATTAACGAGCAGTGCAGATAACTTCCAGATAAATTTTTGCTGATATATCAGCAAAAATTAACATTCTGTCATGGTCATGCTCTCCTAAGAGAAGGAACCATTCTCCTGGAGACCATCAGACAACTCCCAGAAGGTACAGGACACATGACTAAGTCTACAGCTACTTCATCACTCAGCAGAATTTTATGATCATGTACCATGGTCCCATAAAACCACCAGTGGATGCTCTTAATACTAATCAATTTATATGGCTTTCTGCTCTGTGGGGATCAGGAAGAAAGAAGACAGAACCAAGGAACAAAATAAAAATAACTATAAAGCACAGAAAAAAGCTATCAGAGCAAAGAAAAAGAAGAGAAGAAGGGAAAAATAGTAAAAAATTTGACAATTTCCTTGGGGTATAAGAAGGCACCTGAGAATCTGTCTTCAGAAAGTCTTCCACACAAAAAGCCTGGGGAAAGTGCATTTCAGAGTCGTCAACTGGCAGATATTGAATACGTTACAATAATCATGTCACACATTGCTGAAAACCCAGATTGTTGAAAATTCAGATTGTGCAAAGAAAAGAGGAAAACCTCTACCTTTTTTTCTAGTCCTGCCTCTAAATGGAAGTCACTCTTCTCAACAGCCTTTTTACTTGAGGGCATCGGGAAAGGAGGGAACAATTCTCTCTTGATCTTAAAGGTTTTTGTGGTAGAAACTATTCTCTTTTTATTTAAAAAATAACTTGTTGATGATTTTTTTCAACACAGGTAGCTGAAATTATGTTTCAAATACAATGCATCAACAATTCTTATTAAATGATATTTCTATCTCCCAATAAACATGAGAATTTAATTACATGTCTTAGTTACACAGAGTGGTCATCTTCACTAAGTTTAAAAGTTCATACTGGTAGGGAAATGCATTATGAATACATTCACCCCTCTCAGAAGCCCATGTTCTCAGTCTCTCACAATAAATAACCTAGCTTTCAGAAAAATAACAAGAAAAATTGCAGAAAATTTTGAAAGCATTTTTCTTTGGCATTACAAAAATAAACTGAACATTATTGTTGTAGTTCTTTTTTGAGGTAGGATGTAGAATAGCCTGACTTATATTACCTTTTTAACAGTGAAGCAGATATGAACTATTTGCATCAATTTATCATCCCAGAATTTAGCACACTGATCCAGTTGGGTTCATGTGGCAGATTTCACATGGCTTCATTGCAAGGGGAAACACTTTTGTTCTTTGCAGTTAGAATTCCAGCCGTAACAGACCATTAATATTATGATGTGCTTGCATTTAATTTACTTGGTTTTCAAGAGTACAAAAACAGTACTGGAAAATAAAGAAGATACGCATGATTCTGATGTGAATGTTTCTAGATGTGAGATCCAAGTAAATTATTTGAATGCATGTAATTGAGTTTTCTTATATGTAGGTGTGATCATGCATTCAAATAAACATGCAGTTCTTTGAATGGGTAATCACTGGGAAAATAGCACAGCTGCATTTACTTCAGGGTGTGAAGCTCCTGATCTTTTGCAGATATGGAAAGCTTTACATCATGGTATATCAAATATTTAGAATTTGATTCTGTAAGTGCTCTGTGTTTGGAAATCTGATGGTTTTCAGTGAAAGCCCTGATGCAGTATGACAAACTCTGCAAGATTAGTAGCTCACCAGAAAATACAGTTTTCAGATGCTTTAAAATATACATTTGAATTGTTTGCAAAATATTCCAGAGAGTACAGAACAGTTAGATCATATATGATTTTTCTTTAATGGGAATATTGTGTGTAAGACCTAGTTCTAATAGCAATTACTAAATGACATAAGAGAAGATATGTACAAACTTGTTTTTTCTGCGTTAGAGGTCCTTGACCTTTCATTGGTTTAAGTATAGACACTGTCAGACACTGTAACCTGGAAATGTTTCTAGATGCCTACCTGGCAAGTCTTGTTCAGTTAACTCATCATACATGGTTAGAGGAGATTCAATAAAGTTTTGCAAACTTATTTTCTATTGTGCTTTTAATATATTTTAGGCATGTCAGTATATGTATAGTTCACATTAAAACTTTTGAAACAATAACAATTGGCAATGGAAATAACTTTCAACTCTACATCACCATATCAACAAAGTAATTCTTTTTTATGTGTGCATATAAGTCTCTATAAGTAGGACTGAACATACACTGGAAGTATCTCATGCTGTAGTAATTATTAATGCTTTCTTGACAATGCATTATACTGATTTTTAATTTGCGTTAGTTCTTCTCTAATGTTCTTTCCAGCTGTTGGCTGTCTCTTGAAGGAGGGCTACTTTATGCTTTCGTTGGACCTGCAGCTGCTGTTGTCTTGGTAAACATTAATATAATTTCCAGTATTTTCATATGAAATTGTGGAATGTGGTATTTAAATTATAAAATCTTAGCTATAGAGTAGCATTACATTTTGCTGTAAATACTGAGCTCAGTATTGTTTAAAACACCTTCAGTATTTTGAATGTGTAATTCACTTAATTGGATCACTTCTTTATGCTGGTTATCTCTCCATGTTTACACAGTAAGCTGTGAAAGAATAAGGTACTGATTAGTGGCACAGACACCTTGTTACAGGCATCACTGAGTTATTATCAGTGGCATCTACGCAATTGTCACTGCCTTGTGAAACTGGGTGACAGCCTTGATAGAGTGCTGCTTGGCAGCGTATAGCTGTGCCAGCAAAAGCCACAGGAGGAGTGGGACCAGCCAGCAAGTTCTCCATGGCTACTGCTTGTGAAGGCAAAGAAAAAAATCATCATAGCTGGGAAGTGTTACGCACTTGTCTATAAATCTTCCACATCTCCGGGATGTAGGATTCACTTTGTCTAGTTGTAGACATCTGCAATGTAGATTTCTGCATCTAAGCTAGTTATCCCAGCCATATTTCATTGTCAGTGGAGAAAAATCCACACTTTTAGGGCTCAAACCATCAGAAGTGTTTCAGGCATCTACTTCGGGGTAAGATGAATTGCACCCTACATGTGCCATCAGCTATCAGTCATCTGCTTTGCAATAATTTGTTTAGCATTTTTCCCTTACAGATTTTAAATCTAATTCTTTCTGCTCCACCAATTTTGTAGTAGGATAGCTCTATCAACACTGGTTATTTCTGATTTTCCCTTGCAAAAGGGAATCGGACTTGGTAGTCATCAAGGATATAGGCATTTAGCTACATAGATTTTCTTGAAATGGATGTTTACTACTCCCACAGAGTTTGTCTCATCATTGCCTGGAGTCAAGCCAGGATCCTTTTGTACAACTCACAGTCCCTGTCATGATAGAGGAGCCAAGGATGTTTACAAAAAGCCAGTAATAATTTTCACATGGAACTGTATGTTCTCTGTGTAATTGGCAAGCTTTGTTCAGAGCTGTTTGGAGTTCACAGTCGCAGTTTGCCCTACCATTAGCTGGTAGCTGTGGAAGGAGCTGTTCCATGCAGCCACTTAAGCCTAAGTGTACGAAGCAAGAGAATAATATAGCATCAGCTGAAAAATGTAAATGCTGAAAATAAAGTGATAATAGGAAAAGCTGGAAAAGAGTTGGCCGGGCACACTGGCAACAATTAGGTATTTTGGCACTGGTCTTGCAAAATCTGTTTGAAAGGAAAAAAGGATTACCCTTTTCTAATTAAAAAAAATGAGGAACATTTATTTAATAGATTCAAAACTTGGTATTACCTCTTTGCAGGCCATGCAGAGACAGGTTCATAGAGTTCAGTTCAATAATACAAATGGATAATAACAGTCATTAAGTTGTCCATTAAATGCCATTAGTATGTCCATTAAGTGCCAAAGTCTGGCTACTGAAGCACTTGAATGCTTTTTTTGGGTTAGGTCTTCAACCCAGGTATGTGATCATAACACCATTTACTTTAATGGCGCTAAACAGACTTACCCAGGCATTCATCTGGCCCACATAAAAAAGGAAACGAGTCAAACAAGGCTGAAGACTGGCATTTTGGTGAATGACATAGACAATGACTAATGTGCAGGAGGATATGGAAAACCACGGGCTGGTTCTGCCTAAGTGGGAACACCCACGTGGACTGAAAATGCCTAAAAAGGAAGATGGTTGCGGTCATCGTGTGCTCTGACTAGCTCGTCCCTGTGCGCACAACTCAAATGCGGTGGGTTTCCTGGAACAGGAGATGTCATTGCAATTAAAACTGAGGAAATATTAAAGCTGTATTACTCAAGTTTCTGGCCAGCAGAGACATACGCGTATGACTTGATACCAGGCGTAATTCAAGATTCAAAAATAAGCCTGTTGCAGTGTACGTGTGTGTTACCCATTTGAGAATACACACTTTTGGCATGCTCAGGGACAGTGTTACACACATTCTGATGGAGTACTTGGAAGTGTAACAGGAGGCATTTTGCAGGCCTGTGAGAGCCTTTTTCTGAAGTAACAGGATACAGTATTTTCTTTCAGTGTCTGAAAGATCAACTGTTTGTTTTCTGTTTGACAGGTCAACATGGTGATTGGCATTTTGGTATTTAATAAACTTGTTTCCAGAGATGGAATCCTAGATAAAAAACTCAAACACAGAGCGGGGTAAGCAACAACTGGGTTATTTTAAAGCATATTAAAATTGTATCGACAATTTTCAATTACAGATATTTGCCAAAAATGCTTTTGATTGTGCTTTGATCTTCTCTATCAGTGTAACAGTGTGTCTAACAGATTCCATTCATCTCAAAAGCTGCTGTTGCATTATCCTGAGGGAATGCAACTAAACAAACTAAACATAATAAAACACAAGTACAATAGTATTAAGTTAGTAAGAATGAGGATTAAACAAATCTCAGCGGAGGTTTCACAAGAATGTCACACACGTAAAGTTGTTGCAGTTAGGAAAACAGTTTTATGAACTGTGTGTACTGAAGGAACCGATTATTTTTGTCTGGCTGTCAACTTTAATTATTACAGTGGGAAATGTTACTCATTTCTGTAAACCGTTATAAAATATATTTTACAGCAATGTATGCCTCACTGAGGTCAATGCTTTTCTGCCATTCTGACTATGCGAAGAATTTGCCTTTGTTCTTACATCCATATCTACATAGATACATGTTCTAAATTAGTGCAACAGAAGTTCAAAGTAAAAAAACAGGTTTTAAAAGCAAAAAAAAGAAAAAAAGGTAAATGGAAATTCTGTGTTATTGATTATTTACTTGCATTTACATTCAAATTCTGCTTATTATCATAAGAAGAAAGGATTATGACAGTGGTGGTATCAGAAACTCTTTTTCAGTGGATGACAGTGATTTGAAGTACTGCAGCAGCAAACATAGATTCATTCCGTATTGGAGAAAAACATTTCACAAGTACTTCATCACCTTCTTAATGCTTATGAAAGTATATTTAAATTTGCATAATCATTTTTTACAGCTACATATTCTAGTCTTGTCTTTTGGGCCAGCTTGCAGTTAACACCACCAATATCTACGTTTCTAGCGATGATAAGCAATGGTATCCTTATTTTACTGTGTATTACTGCTATGGGTGAATTTATTACAGCTTCATTTTGAATTATTTTATCATTTCACTAACAGTAACATTCCTAATAAGTTCAATTCACTGGTTAGATCAGCAAATTTATGATAAATACCTCCACTGATGTGGTTTGCATTTAATATTAATTCAATTAAATCTTTCTGGTTTTCAGCTCTTTCACCATTATTCTGACAAATGTGTGCCAAAAGCTTTCATTTTGTTTCTTCTCTTTTCCTCTTTTTTCATGAGAAAGTATTAAGTTCTTAACCTTACTTTTGTCTACATTACTTCGTCAACATTCTTAACTGTGTAGTAACACTGATGAAATCTAGAGTATTATAAAAATAATCAAATTATTTCAAGAGCAGTAATAACTTAGTAATCACCCATTCAAATTCACAAATTCCAGTGATTTAAAGATTTGGAGCAGCCACGGGTTTGGCTTTGTACATTGTCTAAGGATATCCAAGCTTAGACTTAACTGCATTTTTTTTTTTTTTTTGAGCTATTCAGTTGTTGGCTATAGAAATCTATTTGCTTATAGTCTGCTTTCCTGATGAAACAAATAACTTGCTTTCTAACAGTGCGCGATTTAGTGAAGAGTATTTTATTTTAAAGGAAATGGATAAAGAACTAGAAATTATTCTGTCAGAAACAATCCGGCTATTCTGAGAAAGCATGGAGATGCCCTAATCGAGAAACTATCGTAACTTTTGTGATAGTACGAGATGGTGGCTTGGCAACAGCATTCCTTGGTACTCCTTGGCAGATGAAGAGTCTGGAGTCATTCTTTGGGGCATAGAAACGGGTGCAGCATTTGTCCTCTGGTAGAAAGGACATTGCCACTCGTTTCTCAAATATCTCTCGCCAGTCGTGCTCAGGGAGGCAACTTCGTTCTTTCTGGCAAACGTTGGACCTGTGCAGGTCAAAAGTTCAGCTGTAGACATCATTTATATAGGATTTAAAGCAGTGAATGGGGCAAAATATACTAACTCCGTATGGTTTTTTCCACCTTAATAAGCATATGGAGAATCAACAAGTGTCTTCATGAATGTCAATTGTTTTCCTGCCATAAGGGGTAGCACACATATATGCCCAACCAGAAGGATTATATTTGGTCTATATACACATCAAGTTCTATTATATGCAAGATCCAGAACAAATCTACAGAGCTAAAGAGAATAATCCAATCTGATGACGTTGAAGTATTGCCAAGCAAAGATGGAAAGTATTTTCCCAAGCTTAGGTTAAGCCTACCCAAGGCATTTTTCTGGTTCATTCATTAATGTAGATCTCTAATTGGTGTAAACTGACGTGGATTCACTGAGTTCTTTTTGCACCCCACAATCACCCTATACAATGTCATGGTTCTCACTAGTTTCTTAGGGAAAAAAACTACATTTTTATGGAAAATATGCTGCACTTTTTAAATGGAAAGTCATCATTTTGTTTATCAAAATGGAAACCACTGGAGTTCAATGTTGGTTTGGGCACTATGTTAAAAATCTTGTGAATGCTGGGTTTGGCAATAAAAAGGAGTTCTCTTGATTGAAATAACAGGGAAAAAACTGAAGTGTTATCCATCTTCAGCACGTTGACCACTTTCCAGCTGGGAATAGGTAAAGCACCCTTCCTGTCGCATCTCAGTCAGCTATGGTTATTCCTAGTTCTGATAGCAGAAAGAGCAGGAATAGCGAAAGTCTTTATTTAGTCAACTCAGGAAGCCGAATGCATGATGTATGTAAAAGAAAATTTAAATTCCAGGTTTTGCCCTTTAACTCTTCTGGCAGGTGCTGAGGTACAATTGTCCATACAAAATGCTTTGAGCTTAATGCTTATGTACTGTGTTTTATTAAAATGCAAAACAGGTCACCCTTTTTTTAGTACCAACTGATATTTATTTCATCAAATTCCATACATTTCAAGCCCTGTATTCAGACCTTCATATGGCATGAATAAAATCAATCTAGATGTTAGTGGGCCATTCAGATCACCAGTACAAATCTGACTGTACGGTACGCCCGTACTGATTTGATGCTTGAATACATTTTGCAGGTTTCTTTCTCTGTTAATGTTCTGTAACTGTACATACTTCATATTCCTCCTTTGCCTGTCCTATACTCCTTCTCAAGCAAGTTTGGATACAACTCTCTTAACAGGTCTGAATAGAGGGATTTCACTTTGTGTGTCTATCCTAGCACGTGCTTATGTTTACTTCAGTGTACTGAGCGGTTTTGATCACTGGGCATTTGGGGCCTTTTTTAGCTTAAATGGAAGAAATAGAGTCTGCATGAAATGAAGCCCCATAGCATTAACGTTTAAAGCTAACAATAATGTAAAGTACAAAGTACAGTTTTGCAACAACATAGAGCATTCATCCTGAATAAGTCTACTTACTTTTTCTGCATGACATCATATTTAAAAGCTAAATTTCAGTAGCAACGTTTTTTGGTGACAATTCAATATTTTGTTCTTTTTGTGGGTGTTCTGTTTGTTTGCAGTCAGATGAGTGAGCCTCATAGCGGTTTGACGCTCAAATGTGCCAAGTGTGGAGTAGTTTCAACAACAGCTTTGTCAGCCACCACCGCCAGTAATGCCATGTTAGTCCTGATCATTTACATCTTCTTGTTACAAATCTTATACAGTGCATGTGAGACAATAGTTTGATGATGACTACTGTGTTTGCTAACACTGTATAGAGTGCTGAGCACGTTTAAATACTTTTTAACAAAAGAAAAAAATGCAACTGTGTTTATTAACTGAATACAGGATATTCTTTAGAACATAAAGTACGACATTGTTACATTCTTGTCTGTGATTTTCAAGTTAACTTGATAAAGTGCCATCCTTAAATATGTTTTATTTTAATAGTGAGCTTTTAATCATTTTTACAATATTACAATGCTGCTTTTCTCTTTTTTTTTCAATAGGGCATCCCTTTGGAGTTCCTGTGTGGTGTTGCCACTTCTAGCCCTGACTTGGATGTCTGCAGTTCTGGCCATGACAGACAAAAGATCAATATTATTTCAGATACTTTTTGCAGTATTTGATTCGTTGCAAGGCTTTGTTATTGTCATGGTCCATTGTATTCTCCGAAGGGAGGTGAGGAATGGCTTCCCAGTTTTCTAAAGGGCTGTGCTCCTGTTAATCTCTCAACTGCTCTTTAATGTTATACACAGCTTGCTCTGCAGAAATATATTTCAGAGAGAGAGAAAAGTATTTTGTGGTGAGATGTACAGGAACGAGGGGAAGATCAGTTAACTCCAGGCACAGAATATCAGTTTCAGTATAAAACTGTACCCACTTAATTAAAGGTGGCTTTTAATCAATCCCAAGTTCAGTTTATTTCTAAGTGTTAGGCTTTCCCAATATTGTGAGTATAGGGAAATGCTAACATGAATGCCCTTTTCCTGAAGACCAAAAGCTATAGATTTCTGCAGTCTCTAAAACGGATTCAAACACAAAATGATTTCTGCTTATACTGTCCCTGAAAGAGGACACAAGGAGGTGAGGTGTTATGTTGGGGAAGATCTACCCTTTTGGTTCTACAAGCTCAGGAACATACTTAAGGTAACATCCGTAAGTTATGAGGACAGTGAGGACGAAGGCAGATGAATGCTTTGAGAACAGCGAGGAGAAGCTAGTACCCCAGCCTGTCCTTCACAGCTCAGTGCCGCCCACCGCAGAATCCATCACCACTGACATCTGATGTGCTCTTTAATCTGGCTCTGGTGGCAGCTTCTCTAAGCTATCTAACCTGCTAACGAGCCCTACATTTTTATTGAGCTAGGTTTGAGGGCAGCAACACAACATCTTTGCTGGCAGATCTGTGGTAGCAGGACTGTCTATCAAAAATGAGCAGGTGGAGAGCAATAACCTGGTCCACCTGCATACTATACATTAGCCATTTATCAACTTCAGGACATTTACCACACCAGTAAACCAAATTACACTGGCTAGCATGGTTCCTTGTGATTGGTAAGAGTTATTTGAAAGCACTTCAGGACTAAAAAAACAGGAAGATGTTTCAAGAAAGGTTTCTTGTCAATGCTGAATGAGGAATCTCACACAGTGGTTTCCCTTTCCACCATTCACACCCTTTAAACATTGAAAGTCACTATATTCATGAAAAAGAATTACGAGTGACATGTTTCAGTCTTTCAGTAGTGCACCACTTTGCATGAACTTTATATCACTAACCTACACAGTATGCGTATGTGATTATCTTATCAAATAATTAAGTTTTCAATTTTTAAGGGAAAAGTTTATCAATATCTTGCAGAAATTAGCACCTGCCATTGTGCTGACTCCATCCCACTTTATTCAAGCTCTTAGAGGCTATGAACTTTTGGTTTTCTTAGTTTATCAGCTTTCATAGTGGAAGGGGTTTACTTCCTTTAGTACCTTTTCTTTTTTCTTCTTTTTTATTTGTTTTTTTTTTGTTCCCTGAGGATAAAAATATGTGCAGAATAAGAGATAATACTCAAGACAGATCTCTTTTATGTAGAACTGTCTTGCTATCCCCTTATTTTCTACAACATTTTCTTTCCTGGTATGATTTACACCTATGAAAGAGGGTATTCTCATCTGTAGAATGGAAAACCTTCATTTCACATATGCTTTTACTAAAATAGTAAGACACTGCAACTATTTTCAGTAGAAGGAATGGCAGTTCCATACTGACTTTCCTGTCTACGAAATTTGTATTTCCTTTGTGATATATTAATTAGCTTGGAAAGGGCATACTACCTCCCCCTTATTGTCCTGAGGAACCATTTTTATTTTGAAATATATATCTTTAGCTCAAGGTTGCAGATGAAACCTTCCAAAACAAAGTAGTATAAACAGTATTATCTTTATAGAATCATAGAATATCTCAAGTCAGAAGGGACCTGTAAAGATCGTTGAGTCCAACCCCCTGCTCCTTGCAGGACTACCTAAAACTACGCCATATGACTAAGAGCGTTGTCCAGATGCTCCTTGAACTCTGACAGGCTTGGTGCCATGACCAACTCCCTGGGAAGCCTGTTCCAGTGACCAAACACCCTCTCAGTGAAGAAACTTTCCCTAATGTCCAACCTGAACTTCCCTGAACTTTAAGATGAAATTGAACATGCATCTTCCCACAATGCCCCAAGCCTTGAAATGAAGACAGGTTCCCT